GGATTTAATTCTCAATTCTTCATTTCTTGATATTGATTGAAATTCTGGTAACGTATCCATTTCTCTGAATCCATTTTTAAAACCTTTTTCAGCGGTTTGAACACCTCCCTTTCCATGATAAAAGAATCCAATATTATATATGGAGGTTGAGCTTCCAAAATATTTATGATTAATAAGTCATCTTTTTCAATTCCTTTGCCTTTACAGAGCCAATGGCCATAACTAAGTTGAGTCTCAGGTAAATCCATATCGGCTGCTTCTTGATTTTTTAAGCAATCATAATATTTAACCCAATATTTTGCATTGTAATCGCACAAATTTACATAATAATCATCATTATACAGAATAGATTTTTATTATTAATTAATTTTATTAATATATTAATATGATATTAATAATCTCAATTACCTTTATTTATAATATCCATCCATCCAATGTGAGCTTGCAATAGCGAAGCAAATTGTTCTCGTTTATCTTCAAGAACTGTATTATAAATTTCTTCAATATTTATTTTCTCCTGGAATGGGCTCCTTTGTTCAACAATTTTACAAAGTATCCGAATATAATAAAATAAAATTAATAAGAAAAAGTTTATAAATCTATAAATTATTGCTGATGGTAATTCATAGAATTATTTACCTATATGTTTCATGCTTATAATTATATTGGAAATTATCAATATTACCACAGATATCTCTGATAACATCTTCTAAAAAGTGACTTAAGATGAAATTATCAATTTTTGTTATATATATTGGACCGCCTTTTGTGAGTACATCTGTTTGAATATCGTGATATAAACTTTCATCAATTTTTAAATAAATTAATCCTCTAGAGATATCTAAAGTGAGCTGTAGTTGTAAACTCAAAGTTGAATTGGCAGTCCATTCGGTTGTAACTTGGATATCCTCGTATGTACATATTGTACCGCTTTTTCGTTGTAGTTGCTTCTTGTTCCGGTAACTTTAAAGTGATTTGATACTTTATTAAGAATGATATTTTCATTTATCTGAAAAGTTTCATTCAGAGTAGCGACAGTTGAATTGGGATCTTTGTTTTCCTGTGTGTCAACTTCGTTTCTTTTATTCTCTTCATGTTTTATTTCATTGTTTTTTTTAGAATGTCTATATAGACAAATTAATCCATACGCTAAAGTAGCAACCGCCACAGCGCCTACAATATAAACACCATTTTGAGGAATCCCTGGATTCTTTATTTTTTTTACAAGGTTATAGAGAACAGTGCTTGCAAGCATTTTTCAAAGTTGTAATGATTTGTTTTTTAAAGGAAAAAAAACTCGACAAGATATTGAATAGAGGTAAATAGCTTAACAAATTCTGTGTTTATTTTTTGTGATAATCAAAAAAATTCCTATTGGCTGGGCATGGCTTATTATCAAAAATTTATAATAACGATAATGAGTCGTGATTGTTTTTTATGGACTATTACGTGCTTTGCATTCTTTATGAATTACGCTCATATTTACACGTAATTTATAAATAGGCTCAATTTATATTACCTTTCTTGCTTCTTCCTTATTGATTCGCGGCACCCTCATTTTTTACATCATCCTTCGTGTTTTTTGTTCCAAAAAAAATCAAGAATTTGAGGCTCTAAATTCATCCCGCATACCAAATTCAACAATAACCAAAGCAAAAACTTCCCCAGAATAAAGACAATCGCAAACATATATATCCATATCCATATATATATATATATATACACACACACGCGCACGGATATTTATATTTATTCCCGTAGGAAACTCTATAATCACGAAAAAACAAAATGACCGATAGAGGCTAAAATTCGAATAATGGTGATAATCTCGAAAATTCATTGGCGCAGTTCTAGTTGGTGCGAGCCTCACGTTGACTGGTAACTCCTCATTAAAAATGGCAGCACTACGAACAAATGGCTCGAAAAGGTTTCTTTTCCCGATTGTCAATTTTTCGACGCTTCTGAATGAGTTTGCTATGATGGTGATGATTTTCTCGAGCGCGGATTCATTGAGTAATAATTGTCCGGTTTTGTAAATAATGCCACTTATTTAATTACTAAGCCAATAGTTTTATACCTGGCGTGAGTATTTTTTTTAGTGGCTGTATTTTCATTGAAGTTTTTTGTTTTTCTGATCTATTTTGCCTTTATAGTTAGATATTTACGGTGTAGAGCTGTTTACGAACCTTATCGAAAATACAGACATATACACTTCTTTATAATTATTGTTCGTGTGGTAGAATTACTTGCGAATGTGATTATTAATCTTCATAGCATTTTTGTATGTGGAGGAGCATATACAGGAATTTGTCAAAAGGAACATATAATCTACCAAATATGAGATGGATTAGCGCATTTTTACTATATTTTGTCTGAGGGAATATTCTACATAGCACATTGAAAAATATTCAAAACAATCCTCTTCACATTGGATCTGAGCAACTTGCTAGCGATGAGCATCTACCGAATGTTTTATCTTACGAGCACGTGTACCATACAAACAACAATGACCTCGTCGCCAGAAAGAGAGAGAGAGAGAGCGGCCTATCAAAAGCTCGAAAGCAAAACACAGGGGAAGCTTCAAATACTTCAAGCTCTATTGCCCAAAGAACCAATAGCTTTTCCAGAGCGCGCGAGAGGTAATAATATTTTTAGTCCAAATCAAATAGCGCCAGTCGAGTTTGTGGAATTGTTTAGCTCCGCGTTGACGGCTTTTGTTATGAGAATTTGGACTCTCGATCCTGGAATTTTTTAAGTCTTCAACTGCTGTTACCACTGGGAGCATAGTACCGACTTATAATGCACATTGTTCTTCCCGGAATTCGATTCCGCCGAGAAATCAAGGTTCGACGGCTCATTGCGACCTCAACAAAAAGCCATCGATAATAGGCGGTATTAATACAGATCAAAAGAATGATATTGTAAACGATTATAATAAATTAAATAATGATCATATAGAAAAAATTCAATCAGTGCTCTTTGGACTACGGCACATGAATTGATTGCAAGGGAACGTTGAAATGCCAAAGAAAAAAAAGCCGATTTTCTTTTCAGGAATTCTTATTAAGTACTACTTCGAACCTTTGTACAAGTAGTAGCAGACCTCATCTTTGATTATTGTGAAGCAATTACAATAAGTTCTTTGAGTTAATTCAATATTTTGTTAAACCAGTCTTTGTAAAGGTTGGCGCAGGAGACCTTTTGGATACTTAAAGAAACATTCTACTGTAAATCATTCATTCTAGCTTTCAACCCTTTTTTACACCTAAATTCTTCTATTCTAGTAAAATCAGAGGAAGGTGTAATAATGACAGGTCATTTCGCATAACTTAAGAGGCCCAAAGTGAAAGCTATCCCAAACACATCGGCCAATTTCCTATACCGAGAAATTTGCTATTATTGTGGTTTCCAAGGGAAATCGTTTTGGACAGGGGAACCACCTTTTTGAATGAGATAGTCAAGATAATGATGACAAGTATAAATAAAACAGAAGCTCTCATTTCCTTATCAATTTAGTAAAAAATCCAATGAAATTCTCTGTAACACGCTGGCAAAATTTATAAACAAGGACCGAAGTAGCTGGACGAAAAATTTGCACTAATTCTGTACGTCTATAGGTTAGGATGATGGCATATAACACCACAAAGTTTCCTCCTTATTAATTGATTTACAATCAGACTGCTGCTATACCTATGGATTTTAACTTTGAACTCGACATCAATTTATTGTTATTAACCAAAAATTATGATATCGACTATCTGTTTTGCCAATCTTATAAGATGATGGAAGGACTAGAAGAAACAAGAACATTATCAAGAACTAAAGATAGCTCCTCAACTGTTAAAACGTGATGATAAATAAGTATTATTTAGTTGAAACTTATAAAATTTTGGAGTTGCAACATGTTGCAACAGATGACAAATAAGCATCACATATAGTGGTGATCATAATTAATGCAACAAAAAAATAATTTTCATTATATTAAAATATCTCACACCAATTTGAGGATATCCATTTTTTAATTAATGGATTTTGTTTGTAAATAGTATAGTTTTTAGACTATCAAAACTAAATATGGATGCATAGAATAGCTATTTCACAAATTACATGTTTATTTAGTAAGTACTATTACATTACTTTTTTTCTTTTTCATACATAATAAAATACAACATAATAAACTTAACTAATTACTAAATTTTTTTTATTTAAACATATATGTTAGGTAGAATTTGACCTATCCTACCATCTCATATAGCCACCTCATGCCTTTATTACATCACAAATTCTTTCTGGTATCAAGTAGATCAGACTGATATAGGTTTCAACATCAATTTCCTGCCAAACCTGTTGTATCTTGTTTCACAAGTCTTCTTTACCTGAAATTTACCTAGAAAGACATCATAGATAATGATCAATCTCATTCTATAAATACTTGATGGGATTTAGATTGGGAGATTGTAATGGCTAATCCAAAACTCAAACTCGATTATTCCTGAACTACTGTTTCATCAAAAATTACTGTATGTTTAGGATCTCTATCTTGTTGGAAAATGATATTTCTAACAGTAAACCTATGATCTCTAATGATATTCATAAGATTCTCATGAAGTATTTATTAATATAATTTGATAATCATGATATTATCAATCTTACAAAAGTCATCAATACCCTATGATATAAAATAACCCCAAATTATCATGGATTCACCTCCAAACTTTACTGTAGACTTAATATGAAACTGATTTAATAACTCTTCATGATATTTCCAGTAATATTACTTTCTATTTGAACTGAAAATTTTAAATCTAGACTTATCAGACTATATAACCCTTGATCAATCTTTGATGATTCAATTTTCATGATTTTATACAAATTCTAACCACTTTTTTTGATATATTTTACTTAGATAGGATTTTTTTCTTTTTATTCCTGATATCAAACCATTATTTCTCAATATATAATGAATAGTAAATGGTAATATATTCATGTTTTCTTTTTCTTGGATGTATTTTTGGACTTCTACTACTGATAAATATCTCTAGGAAGTAATAAGATTGACAATTTTTCTTTTTATTGGTTTATTTATAGCAGATGGTTAATCAGACTTTACTGTATCTTCAAAAAAATCTTGTTTGTACTATCTTTTATTAATATGAGAGACTGTTGAGGGATTAATATTTTTTGACTTTACTATTTATCTTGTTGTATATCTATTTTGAAGAGCAAGAAGAATTTGTATATGCTTTTCTGGAGTTGTGTGACATCTTTGTATTTTAGTTTATTATTTAAAAAGTTGTAATATCATATGATAGATAAATAATACACAATAAACTTATCTTTTATATGATATTTATGTTACATAACTATGACTATTGGATTTTTGCATGAGAAGATTATAAATAATATAATACAAGTTTAATTCTATTTCTGTATTTATCTAAAAATAGAAAATAATAACACCTATTAAAATTTTAATATATTAAAACAATACTATTAAAAAGCAAAATTATTAAAAATACAAAATGAATATATTATAATTTTCATAAAATATTTCAATTTGATGAAAAATTTTTTTTTGTTACATTAATTATAATTATTACTGTACTTGTTGCGTCATCTCTATCAAGAATAAGATAAAGAAAAATAATAAAATCTTTCACTATTCACAGATATTCCAGACTGGTGATAAGATTCTTTTATATAGAACTTAACTTGACAATTAGTATAATATGAAGTTTAAAATCTATTGGACTGGTTCATTTTATATTTATTATATATTGGATATAAAGCTCATAATAATAGACTAAAGAAGTATTAGAATGAAGCTGTTGAAATTACTATTACTGTGATCACTCAATAAAATGGTTTAGATAATAAAAAGTAATTTTTTCTTTCTGAATATCATTTTAATCATTTTTAATAGTTTTTTCAGATATAAAAGATTTTCTAATTCTAACTTAATCATAAAATTCATATTTATAAAGAGTATATTATTATATAATAGTAATAATAAGTGATTTGAAATAATTAAGTAACTTGTAACTTGATTATAAGTTATTTGTTATATATAAATTAGTAAGTAATCAAATAGTTAATTATTTAATTTTCAATATTCAAAGTCTTATAAATAGAATAAAAGTAAAATTCAGAATAAATTTTTAGTAATAAAAATAAGCAGAAAAATATTTTTTTATTTATTACTCTTTAATTTTTATTTTACTAATTAAATAAATAAATTCTTAAATAAAATATATCTAAAAATATAAAAAAAATAAATATTAAAATAGTAATAGTAAATTAAAAATTATATATATTAATCAATTAATTTTATTTTGTAAAATTATAAATTATTTAAGAATTACTATTTGAATTTTTATCTTTATTAAAAGATTTTGATTTAAAATGAGAGATTTATTAAATAAATATAAGAAATATAATTATATCTTAAATATATATATTTCACTTGGATAAATAAATAAAAATATTATTTTATTTAATTTATTTTTATCTATCTTATTATTATCTACTTTGCTATTATCTATTCTATTATTTATTTATTTATTATTTACTTTATTATTAGTTATCTTATTATCTCTTTATCTATTATTTTATAAAAACTTATCATTTAGAAATTAATAAAATATCTGATATTTAAGCTCAAAGTAAGTCTGTTTCACATATTTTTTTTATATATATAAAATTTTTTTATTTGATTCTGAATATTTATCATATATAATATGTTTAAAATAAATTTATTTTATATTTTCTATATCTACTAATTGATATTACTATTTGCTAGTTATTATTTATATATTTTATTACTAATATTTTTGGTTATTTATTATTATTTATATATTAATTAACTATTAATAATTATATTTTTTATATAAATTAATTAATTTTATTTAATACTTAATTTTACTAATAAAATTACTTATAAGATAAAAGAGAATATTATAATATATATTAATATTATAATATAGTTAGAATAATATATAATATCTTGATATCTAGTAGTCCAAATTGTATCAAAATAATATTATTCAATTTATTATAACTATATGAATTAAATAATAATATTTTGATGTGATTCAAATCACTAGGTATCAAGATATCATGTTATATATCAAGTTATTTAATAATTTATATCAAAATTTTAATATATAGTAAATTTTAGATTTGATATCTCAATATTAAGTAAATAAAATCACATTAAAATAATATTATTTAATTTATTATAACTAGATAAATCAAATAATATTAGTTTGATATGATTCTATTTACTTGATATTAAGATATTGTATCCAAAATTCAGATAATGAATAGTAACTAAAATAATACACTTTAATTATATTTAATTTTCACTCTTAAATAATAGTTTATATAGTTATAATATAATAAGTCTCATAATATAAATAAGTATATATAAATAGATTCAAGAGTCTTAATAAAAAAAAGATAGAATTAATTGTATATAATTCTTCTTTAAGTAATTAGTATATATAAAATGCTTGCAGTGTTAATTATAATAATAATTGATAATTAGATTCTTTTGATCTAAAAGAAAGTAATAGATATTATAAATTAGATTATTGATAAATTATTTAATATATTTATTTAAAGCTTTTAACTAGAAAAAACAAATATTTAAGTTAGAACTAAGCATAATAAAAAAATCTTAAATTACTTATCTCTTTTCTTTTTTTATATTTATTTTTACAAATAGTATCTGTAGATATTAGTATAGAATTTTAGAAATTAATAAGTACTAGTTTAATTATCTATACAAATTAACTAAAAGATAAGTTAATAATTAATTTATATAATATAATCAAGAAAATAATAGTAAGAACTTATCTAATCTTGCATAATCTTTAATTACTTAGTTAATTATTATTAATGAATCTTCCAAATAATAATATTATTATAGTAAATTGGTAAGTGAATTTTTACTTAAATTTACCTTAATAATATAGAATTGAAAAAGACTAAAATAATTAAA